TTATTAGCGGTACCCCCCATTTTACATTGATGTCACTACTCAGACCTAATTTTTTTGTCTTGTAAACATCTCTTACTATTTTAGGATTTGGATAGCTTGCAATTCGAGAAGGAATATAAATCTATATCAGCATCAATGAACTACGGAATTCGACTAAGCTCAGTAAGTTTCCTGAGTTTGAATTTCTACTGGCGTACGAATTTTATTCGTTAAGATAACAAAATCAAAAGATCAAGTTCAACAAAACCAGATGATTTATTAGATCAATGCATTTCAAAAATCTGAATGGACACTAACTTTTTAAGACACTTATATGTGAGAATTAAAGGTCAAATAGATAACCCATATATAAATTTTAAAAAGAGCATTAATTACTCGATAAAGGAAGTAGATTATTCCTCACATCAACAGGGGAATGTTGATAAGATAATTATTTATTAAAGATTGATGATAACTGTAGTGATCGCTCGCGAAGTTGATTATTTGTAGGATAACGGGACACTATATCAACGTTCAACGAAATACAAAATTTATCGAATAGATATCGTACACCGTTAAGTCGAAGCTGTCATCGAGAAAATCAAAAATTGTTGTACAGCTTAGAAAAGCCCTATTGTTCTACAACTTACCTACGAGATGACACTACCAGAAATCTAAAACTTTAACTATGGCAGATAAGTCATTCAACATAATTAGCCTTTCTATGCTCTAGTATTAGAGACGGACAAATTCCTTCTGCTTACAGGATGGAATTAAGGTTATGAATTCACATGTGAGTACCAAAAGAGATTAAAAGTTTTCTATGTTTTTAATTTTTAGATCCGAAGAACTTTTGTTATAGTTTTCATGATGGATTAGCTTCAAATGAAGGGACTGACCAAATAAGCAATAATCATACGCTTAAAAGTGAATAACTTCAGCTTCAGGCAGTTGTCACTGATGGGATTTAGCTATGCCAGGAGCAAGATATGTATCAACGAAAAATCGGATCACTGTCGCGCCATATCATAAACTGACTGGACTACTAAATTCTTAATTAATGGTCTAACAATAACGTACTCGCTGCGAGACCTGTGTGTCTTGGGTTTGATCCATGATGCAGTCATTTATTGGCCATTTAATCCAATTGTCTTAATCAATAAATCCTTATAAACGTAAATCATTTGTGTTTCAAGCGGTTAAAAAATCTATCAACTAAATAGCTTTTCTTGTTTTATTAGAAACCAGCATTATTGGCGTTCAACCCTCAGGCAGTCATCTAACAACGTAAGACTAGGTACATATATGCATCCAAGTTGCCATACCTCATTAACACGACAAGATGAACAACAAATTCATAGAAGTAGTTGATTCAATGGTGGTAGTATACAAAAGAAAGATTACATATAACGATACAATACAGGAAGAAAGGAAGGTATGACGTAATTTTAATCTCCATCTAAGGGGAAGACAAAGAGTGTATGCACCGACGCCACTGTGATCGATTCTGAGCCACGTCACCAAGAGTCTCCAACCATCGGTAACCACCCCAACCAAGTAGTCTGCATCCACCAACATGGCTCAGACCAGAAGTTAGTGACTTCAAGCACTGATGCCACGTTTTGGTTTGGCCGCCCCTAACTTTCTTCCAACCATCCACAACACCAGTTAGCATTGCATACGAAACACGTGGCCCAACCATCTCAGTCGATTAAGATTCACAACCTCATCAACTGATTTACTACCATTTCCTAATACTCTGCGTCTAACCTCACTATTGCTCATCCTGTGATCCCAACAGATGCGAGCAATATTTCTAAGGCATCTATGGTCAAATACTTGTAGCTTACGAGTATCTTCTACTCTTAATGGCCATGTTTCGCAGCCGTATAGTAGAACGGAACGAACTGCCGCGCAGTAAACTCGTCCCTTAATTGATAGACGGATATCTCGCCTTCGCCATAGGTGACGTAAGTTGGCAAAACCCAAACGATCTCTTCGAATCCGTGCTGAGATTTCGTTAGACACCAACTCATTAGGGCTGATCAGACTTCCAAGATAAGTGAAGTTGTCAACAATTTCGACTACTTCATTCCCTATCCTAAGTTCAGGTGTTGACGCAGACCAGTCCTGAAGCAACAACTTGCATTTAGAGGGAGAGAAGTGCATCCCAAACATTCTGGCATTGTTGCTCAGTGCTACTGAAAGACTCTGCATTTTATCAGCGTCCTCGCCAAACAGGAATATGTCATCTGCGGTCCAAGTGAGAACAATTCTGCAGAGACGACAACAACTAGACACAACTGTCAAAAAATTCATGGCTAGAATCGAATGTATCACAGACCAAAAAAATTTTGAGACTAGTGCAACCGACATTTTAGATTGGCTGGCATCATGAAATATTACCCGCATTGGCATCTAGCATTCTGTACCAGCATAAAATAGTGGAATTTTTCTGTCACCAGCCCACAATCAATTACCCAGATGAGCACAGTTCTTTACTATTCCCATTGATTTTTCGAGGAGAAATATGGACATGAGATTCTCATGATCTACAAACAAGACAAAAGACTTTTAATACAAAACGCAAGACGCCATTCAGAAACCATAGAAACATTATTTCACATGAAAATGTGGCTATAAATCAATGCAGATGTGTAATCATTGCATCTAGATCCCTACTTGATGGTATTTCCTGAAATCTGTAACTAGCAAACGTAGAAAAATCTCGTGGTGCAACCACATAATCTGCTGTAAACAGGTACGACTTTCATTGTTGCTACTGACTAACTCTACATAGAATTAATGTAACACCAACATATGCTAAAAAGTTCAGAAGGAAGACTAATGTAATAAATTATATTTTACATTAGTGAAGGTAAACGACTCACTATTTCCAGACGAACAGCTAAAACAACTATTTCTTTATTTGTCTATGTACTTCACATATTCACTAGGTATTATTAACACTATTTAGAGTCAGGTTTCACTGAACTCGGAGTTAAAACGGACGTGACTAAACTGCGAATTTCTGATAGCAATCATACAAATACGGTTTGGTTTTTCAATGAGATTTGTTGATAGTGGTTGGTACACACCCATATGAATAACAGAAGCACGAAATAAAATATACATATTGAATTCCAACTTATTGTGGACTATAATGAATTCCTATTTCTGGAATTTACTCAGAAAATGTGTCAGTGTACATAATTAACGATCCAAATTTTATTCAAAATGGAAATATTTATTTGATATGGAAAAGATTTACTGTTTATAATTGAACTTTTAGCAATCTGAACTAGAAGCCTTAGTACATTCACTATGTGAAGAATTGAGCTCTAGAATGCGAAATATCAAAATGTGTTCAATGAATGCCGGATGTGTAGGAAAATCACTAACCGTCAGATTATACCTACGACTTCCTAACGCCCCCGCACAGACTTCAAAATATATGGGTAAGTGGCACGGAGTGTATCTTTATAATGCAATTTGTTTCCTATGTACTTACACTTTTCCCAATTAAGTTTACTTATACACGGAATTTACATGTCATTAAATTATTTGAATAGAAAAATATTCCTTAACTCATCCGTATTCATGATACTGATAGTGTAACTTGAACTTTCAAATGTTGTGCGCCCAAAATATATAAAAGCTTGGCAACTGAAAATTGTATAACCTAAACCAGTACAGAATAACTAGTTGTATTTCAGCTTATTTTTGATTCCGTTTGTAAAAGTGGCGAATTCATCAAACATCAATATAAAATACCACAATAAGTAAAATATTTACTCACGTTTTTACAATATCATTAAAGGATAGTAGTAGGTATGTAAACATTTACCAATAATTATTACATAATGTACTGAAATACAACAGGTATCTAGAGATCTATCGGGTAAAAGTTTACTAATCAAATCGACATAACATTCACGTCTGCAACTGCTATCCAGTTTAAAAACTTTGAAAAAATGGGCAAACGGATTACTTAGATAAAGACAGTACTATACTCGTTCGTGCATTCGATTAATTAAGCATCTTTCGCACTAAGTTTGATAAGTGTTGAAAAGTATAAGTGCCGATACTTTTCAGATGTATGCCATGAGTAATAGTATTTAAAGTGAGTTAATTCTGATGAAGAACGTTGTGCAACTTTTGGACTTCTCTAAATACAATTTTTCGAAACATCTATTACATGTACCAATATATGTTATTTGACTCAGATACTGGGAATAATTCGATTGGAAAAGACGCGCTGTGAGATATGGGCGATAGTTGTCAACTAAACCGACGTTTTTAAGTAAATAATGTACAGGTATGTAAACAAATATATCAGCAACGCTGAAATAATTTTTGATGCATAACGTGTAAAACGCACGTGGATTCTTAGTAATTAGCTGGGTTGTTAATATGTTACGTGAAATCAATCCTCAACGGAAGACAGGCCTACTCATTTACATTAAACTTAGGTGAATATCTTATACGTAAAATTGGGTCTACTTTTACTGAGCCTGTTGACTGTTTTGCGTTGTATGTGAAAAAGTTCTCGTTCTGGCTTATACCTGTTTCTTGATCATTGGTCGGATGATCGGATCAATTTAATAGAGTTTTGTCCTACTGATCTAATTATTTAATGTCTAGTGAAGGACCATAGGTCGCAAATCTTATATCTCCATAATAACACTTCCATACACAGGATGCGCATTTATCGATGCACATTCACGTAAAAAATATAAAACCCCGATTTCGCGTCTTATACATCATTTAATTAATCAGATATGTATCTCAAGTTATTACATGACACGCGAAAAAATCAATTATTACTCCTTATTTAGGTCATGGTTTATGTTCAATAACCAATCACACTATACAAATGACTGAATATACAGCAGAACCTACAGTCCTTTATCGATATGCAGTAAAAACAGTTAATCGACTATGTCCTGAACCAGAAGATTTACGGGGAGTGAGTTTCCTATATATTTTAAGTATACTGAAGCTATTAAAACATATTATGTACTTTCCTAGGAGACGTTTATTTTTGGATGGATATGCAAAAGAATCAAATTTAATAAAACATTTTCTGCACTATGAATGCATATAATTGAAAGTAAAATTTGCAAAACTTACCTTTAACATTGTGTTTGTCTAAATTGCGGAGTTTACCTCATAACACATTATTATCCCAAGCCAAAACAGATTTCACAATCCATGCAATTTTGATACTAACAAAGCAGACCAGAAAAAAGTCGACCATTACAGCATGAAGGAGAAACTTTGCCTTAAATTGTTTTCGGAGATTAATTTCAAGACAATCGGTTACCTAACGAAAAAGTCTAAGTATTTATCAGCCAACTCACTGAATGTTCTTACTTGGATTACAGGACCGTCAAAGCAAATGGAAACTAAACAAGCACTTTGATTTTCAGCACTGAAATTAATGATTACCCTTACATTTAAGTAACATTCATGAATATAATGCCAGCATTTAGGATTGCTTTAGTTGTTATAGGATGTTTCCTATCCACAATGAAATTAAAACATGGACGTATCTTTTGTCCTAATGTTCACTGAGTGAAGGAAAGGAAATCTTTCCAATTCGTGTAATGACGCCTGTCTGCTTGGCAACTAAATAATTGTAGACTACTTATTTTAAACTCCGAAACGAGACACCGAGAAAATCACTCGTCCATATTTATTTTATCACTTGGAGATCAGGACTTTTAACATAAGCAAGTTGACTTGATAAGCGTATGCTACGAACAAGACGTTACGTGTTGGATTATTCTCGTAACTTGACGTAAAAATCCTGAATTACTTGATAACGAATCAAATAGAAATACAATTCTTCGAATCTTCTCAGGAAAAACAATTTTAAAGAGGACTTGCTATTTAGCAACACTATGCATTTCTCCATAAAACTTTTATAAAGATAATTTATGAATATAAACTGCAATCTCAATGTAATACGCCCGTCAATGAAAAGGGGGAAGTTTCAGATTTAAATCAGCGAAGAAATGAAACAATAACCATTTGAAAGACACATATGCAGAATCGACAGTTCGAAAAATAATATTGAGCACATAATTCTGTTCGCTACGTTTTTGGAACCGATCAAAACTTTACTTTTAGGAGTTAAACGGTAACCAATAAAAAGTAGGATGAGAATTTTATAGAATTCCTACTAAAGCTCCAAGAACTTTAAAATTTTTTCTACTAGTTATCTACCTATACATAAAGAATTATTATAATTTTAGAAATATGGAGATTGTGACCAGTATTTAATTTGACATAGTAACTTTATTTTAACTTCCTAATTGGATCAACATTTTGTGTAGGACAAGATATTAGGGATTATTAATCAGTATACAAAGCAATAGCAAGTGGTATTTACTCACCAAGATTTTGGGGACGGATCTGCAGATATCCATCTTCACGATTTATGAACAGGACAAGCAGTCCGAATAAAAGATGGGAATGAGTTCCCCAAATTGATGATTCCCTCAGTGAAAACAGACTGAAAAATATCTCAAATTTTAGAATCGAATTCACAAAAGTACAAGATAATAAATAAAATAGGTTTTGCTCTTTACTCAACTTGTTAGTGTAGCTCGTGTTGTCATGAATCAAGATGTCGACATTTCATAGATCACCATTCAACGCTCAGCACACAGAGCTGACAGGATATGTACAAACACAGTGGTGGAGAGTAAGAAACATTATCCATTGCATAACCAGCGCAAGCCAAAATAAAATCGCCATATCCTTAACAAAGTAGTAGGAAGTATGCTACATCTAATACTTAAATTACGCTTAAAACTATATCAACGCTAAATTTACTTCAAGGATTCTCTGTGACAAAACAAAACAGGCAAAGTCGATCTCTAACCGAAGAGTACAAATAGAGCGGAATACTTCAAAGTGATCTGTTTTGAAAAGCTTGTCGTTTTCGTACATTTATAATTGAGCCCTCACATAAGCGTGCTATTAAGTCAAGTTTTTAAATCCAATAACGTGGGAAAAAATTTTATTGACCGAAATCGGTAATCAAGTCATAGGATAAAATGTCAAGGCCAAGAGTATGTAACCAGACGTCACCTAATAGTTATAAGTTACCTTAGGAATTTTTTGAATGAGAAATAGCTTTGTTACAAATGTTTGTCATTAAAAAAATTTCATGAACTGTAGTTTTGAATATTTTCATTGCCTACACACTTGACTATCATGTCCCATCAGGACACACAAGTTATCACTAGATGTTTGTAATTTATAAAATTCCACATACATTTACCATGCATGTCAATTATTAGGTAAACTTACACACAATAAACAATGTGTCAATTTATTCCCAATGTTCTGATAAATACGGTTTAATATATTTTTCTGTACAGATAGGATTGCAAGTTCATCAGCTACAGTATGGAAGCTCAAGGGTTAATTTTATGAAGATTATGAATCCATGTAGCAACGATCAAACCGTCAAAGAAAACGACCAGTCACTTTGTTTGCCAAAAACAAACAACTTGGTGAACTCCAAATGTCAGCAAATTAGGTTGGCATTACTGTTTTAAAATCTACTGTTATTACAGTTACATAGACATGAGCCATTCTACATTTACCTGAAATCCAGCAAAGTTGATTATATTTGTTATAGTCGATTTAATTTATACACGTGGAAACGAAACTTGTTTGATAATAATGTGGTACAGTTTATTTTAAACTAAATTCAGAGAATAAGTAATATACTTGGATGACAAATCTGTTTGTTATCATCGCAGATACAGCTAAATGCAAATTAATTGTTTGTGAACCGAATTACGCTATGCTAAAGGTAATAACTTTGATTAAGACGCTTTTTACCAGTACCGTCTCTGAAAATCGTAACGGTGTGGGAAAACCCGAAAGAAGTTAAATGACGGCCGAAAGTTTAATTAAACTATTGACCAACATGCACTACATCATACAGCCCTACGACCCCTTTAACTTATTCACATTTACAATTTGCGTTGAGTACCTTGTATATGTGTAAAGATTTAGCTTCAATGTTTTAAGACTTAGCCCTTAACTAATGAAATGACGACCTTTCAGTTTGCATATCTAAGTAGTATCATTAGCAATATACAAAACGTGGCTTAAAGTCCAGCACTATGTTGTATCTCCTTTTTCTAAAATTAAAACATTAGCTTTATTCATGTCAGTTTTAATGGTCTTTCGAGCAGTTTACCATTGCAGTATTTACACCAACCGCTTACATAAGTTGGGAAGTGAGGTCAAGCAAACATTCGTCATGTCGAAGATACCGCGTAGCAGTAGTCGTGGTAGTACACGGGATTGTACTACCGTTAACAAAATAGCTGCATGTGACTATTAGTATATCCATAGACTGGTATTAAATGTACATATTTTTCTTCTACTAGTTATTTTTACCGGACCAGTATAGATACAGTTGGAAGGAAGCCCATAGCCACTGACCTTGGTCTACACTATCACGAAACACCGGAACGATAGGTTTAGGTCACATGTTCCTCTTTAAGAGCCTTGTTGACGTATAACTTGTGTGTTATTTTTGTTTATCTACAACTTTTAGTGTGACTGACAATGAACACCAACGTCGTCAAGAATTAAAAATCACGGATGTAGAGAAAGATATTTCAAACGATTGTAACCGATTGGGACATTTGGAGGACAGACATAATACCAACGAAGTACTCGAAATAAAGAAAAATGTGACAGTAAGTACCAAAACCTAAAATTGCTTGGGAATTTACAGGATAAACGTTTATCCATTAAAAGCATCAATTTATTTAACATTGAGGTGTTATAGGTTAACTGTGATAATCAACCAGATAAAACATTTTTACGGTATATGTGCCTAATAAGAAAACAGATATAGAAACTCAAGTAGTGGGTTGATTAAGAACTACATTTGATGCGTTGCTGTTTTTACTATTGATATCAACTTTAAATTTTTTTAAAGCCATTTCTAAGATTTGTGATCTAACAGTGTATAATGATTTTAATCTTTTCTAGTCATGTAGTTCAAACTATGTGCCCATTGCAACTCCAGTAAAACAAAGAAACATATCAGTGAAGGGCAGAAAGTTGCAGAAAAAGCGCGTATGTAAGGGAGGAAAATTATCAGTAATCAAGAGTGCACGACTTCAAAAGGCGAATTGTAAATCCATTTCAAAACACATAAGTGTACCTACTCCTATAAACTCCATAAAACCTGAGATACCACAATTCGGTTGCTTAACACAGGCAATGGAAGACCCGAGTGGCTTGTTCACCAATAAAACATTGACAGAACTTCAACAAATTTTTGGTGATTGGATAATTAGTGAAGCAGGTAGGTACAAATCAGTGTTTAATAAAAAAGTTTAGGGACAGTTATTTTTGATCGATACCCAGTTTAGTAATAAATTACTCAAGTAGCAACGCATCGTTGGAAATGATCTTTACACAAGTTACACTGGGCGCAATCATTAACTCAACGCAAATAATACCGCTACACCGACCGCGAAATGACGAATCCCTAAACCTAAGGTCAACCTTTTTACTCTAAATACATAAAAAGTACACTGAAAGTCGAAACAATAAAAGACGTGTAGGGATACATATATTAGTAATAGCATTTATTACATCACTGATCAATAAGAAACGTTGTTTTTAATTTTCAGTGCCCCAAAACGAAGATATACAAATTTTGACCGATTACCTTTCATCTCTGGTGAATACAAATTTGGAGCGAATTCGCTTAGTACTTATACTCCTTGATAGACTTATAAGCAAACTTGCGCATCCATCCGATGGTAGTTGGAGAAAAGCATATCAATCAATACTTGATACATTATCGGAATCAATTAAAGAAAAGTACGGTGGATTCAATTTGAAACTTCGATTAGCAGAGTAAGAAAAATGAGTTTCCAATATTAAAACATTTTATAAAATTTTCTTGCCAAAAGTAATATAGTTTTTCAAGAATCCGCTGTTGAATGGTATTTTTTAAACAAGAACTGGAAATACGTAAAGCACCACAAAACGATAGGATAGTGCAAATAATTTATTGCAATCTGGTAAATAATCTATCAATCATACCGTACAGGCAACCAGTGAAAAAAGTTAATACTCATAAAATTTTTGTACAGAGTAAAATTAAATCATTCATATGTACAATTTACCTTCGGTGATGATCATGATGTCGACTCGAAACTAGACGATGGTTAGAGTGCTCACGCAATATACGACCACTTTCACCATTTGGTGCAGATCGCAATGATGAATGATGTTTGCTTTTATGTGATTTATCATAATCGATTCGATAGGCATACGGCGGTGATAAGTGACGGCGACCACTTTTAGCTTTTACCGGATTATGATGAGTCGGGGAAAAACGCGGTTCATCACTGAAAGAAGATGTTTGGGAATCCTCTGATGAAGAGCGTGGAATATGTTTGCGTTTATTATTGTAAATTTTTCTGCGATCGTGCACATTGACTATGTGTTTGTTAGGACTTGAAGAACTATCACCTGTTTCAGAGCCAGAGGATGATATATCATTTAATTTTTGTCGATAATTACGAGATTTGGAGTTATTTGTGAGAAAGTTTATTGAATTATAACGGTTTTGATCGGTCTCTCGGTCAGATGACGAAGATGATGAGGAGATTGAATTGTAATGGTGCTTTTTAGATGAATATTTGTGTCGATGATGTCGACGTCTTTTGTCGGATTCGGTGTTAGTAGATGAAATATTTGAGTAGGCGGCTGGTCGAATAATTGGTCGTCGTTTGGTCTCAGAGGTTTCTTGTACAGTTCTAAATAATTTAATAAGTAATATAAGATTAGTCAACAATGAAGAAGTACAAAAATGAATTTCATCTAAAAACCAATGAAACTCACTTCTCATTTCTGACCTACGGCAAAAACGTTTCAGTATAATTTAAATAAACAACATAGGGCAGTGACTCAAGCCGCTGCACAACCTTTCACATTTACAAGCTTGCAAAATAACTTAGTTTTAATACATATAGCATGCAGATACATAAGTTCTGCTTCTTCAGTTGTTATTTGAACACATTGGTAAGAGGCACTAAATGTATATGCGCGACAGAAATCATTTGATTTGTGTGAGGGCTGGAATACTGCCCGGGCGCCCAAACCGAAACAGGTAGTTTTCTTAAGGGGTCACACCCCGAGCCTTCGAGATAATGGTTTGATCCACAGGGCAGTGGAGCAATGCCAAGAAATACAGTCCCATGGTAGCCGGTGGCCGACAATTGGTTCATATGCCATTTGTTCCTCAGGATCCTGGTGCCCATGTGCACACTTGGTTTGGAATCAGGGTTTTCCAACTTCCCTAGGTGGATCCTCCGTACCTATCAACCCGGTTAGGGCGCCAAATATTCGTTTTTCGTCCTGTCAATTTCGTAAACAACATCCACGTCACGAGAAGGCAGCGGCTGTAGACGCGTGGCCATGTGAGAGCTGACTCGAACCACTCTAGACCATAGCAGGGCGTTTGAGGGCTCTTCAGCTAGGGCTGATCAACAAGCTGATTTGCGTGAGTTTTTTGAGCCACTATTGCGTACAGAGAAACTCAGCAACACAATTCGTTATAAATCCTGTTCCCACCACGTAAATTTTCTAACTAGACACTATTAACTTTCGTAGGAAACAAAGTTGATATTTCAAAGTTTATGGTTCCATTTAAATTTTTTAAATGTGAAAGCGCTTGTCTACATGAGTAATTCAAGATGTTGGATGCAACAATAACAACGGGTGTACAACCAAGAATGACAACTCCATTGTTGGCAGTATATATTATATATTTCGATAATGAAGTTGTAAGAAACGAAATCAAGCTTGTGAAACTGAAAACTAAAATTTTCACAAAATAATAGGCGAACCGAGAGCAACTGACTTCAAGAAAATAATAGTAGCTTATTTTACTGAACTAAAATATTTTAGCCATGTATTACTGGCTGAAAAATTATGTTCTACAAATACCCATTATGACAACCAAGAAGATTTAAACTTAGAACACCCTACTTTCATGAACAGGTACCAGGTTTGATTACAAGTTCACTTGAATCTGAGCTGTCAGGTAATATCACGAGCCTTTCTACAAAAAACGTGGCTTGCAGATTGTGTAAACTAACACCAACTGTTAGTTTATATGACATTTCTGACTGAAAATTTTTATGATGACTAGACATGATAAATCCATAAAATATTTCCAATTTGTTAATTAAAATTAGGTAAGTGGTTTTCAGGCCTATAAGCCTTTAAAGAATTGGTCTGCAGACAAATCTAGCGCCACCTAGGGAAATGATTTAACAGAAAAAATAGTTTCGAAAACTTATTTACTAGTAATCAAAGATTATAAACTGTTCCGTAGGTCAACAACGCACAGAATGACTAATTTAAGTTTTACGTCCTCCACAATATATAGTTCATCCAAAATTCATTGTAGGTTCACAAATTCACAGAACAGACCTACCAAAAATTCTAAATGACCAATATTTGAATAATAACAAAGATGTGTAGTTAACCAACGCGCGTAATTATCTGATCAAATGTGCAGCAACTTCAAAAAGCATGAAGATTCATGCATGAAGCCTAGTCATAAAATGTAAAATGATTATTCTACCCCAACGGCTGAGTTGAGTAACCAAAAAACTACATTATAATTCTACATGTACTCATGAAATGAGTATCAGACTGACATCATTAGGTGGCGTAGGCTGGAAATACTTGTTGAGCAACAACTTACAAACATTTAACAAAGATTAATTGAAAAGCTTACCTATCAGGCTTCTTATTCGAAACGTCGGATATATTATTTATCTGATTAGGTTCAACGAGTGTTTTTGGAGATCCTGGTGAGACGTCTTCACTTGGTTCGCGTTTATGTGGAACCATTGACGGATCAGTACCCGCTTTGGACAACTCGTCTGTGATCATACCAGACTTTGACGCTGTAATCGTTGCTGCGACCGCTTTGGCATTAGCTAAAGCGCTTGCCAAAAGCGAGTTTGGAGCGAAAACAGTAGTAGTATCTTCAGGCTCAGCTTTACTGTCTACTGACTTCTTATTTCCATTAAGCTTGTTTTGATTCTTAGATTTGGATAAATGATTCGGGGGTGAGATATAACCGAAACTGTGGTCGGACCGGGTACTTGGGGGCGTTGTTACGGTCTGTTGTTTTTTGAGCTCGTTTTCTCGTTCCTTTGCTTCGGCCTGAGATTTCCTGAGTTGAGCTAGAACTGACTCAAGTTTCCCAACATCTACCTTTGGACGAGCATATAAACGCAACAAACATAAAGCGATTTCGTGCACAGATTCCTCGCTTACACTGAACATTTCCCACCAAGCTGGATGGCGTGGCAGAGGAATATTGAGCTTACATGATGCCAGATAAATGCAACCACACGCAATTGCTTCCGGAAGATAACGTACAAATATATCAGTTCGAAGACTGTCGTTCATATAATTCCTAAAATGTGCAAAGTGGAGATTGAGAATACTAAGTTTTAGATCTTAAAATGATTCACAATTAAGAGACATAACAATAATTAGAAACCTTATTTCAGCCTTAGGGATTTGAATACAGACACACTAAATCTATACGTTGTAATTTAGAGAGGTACAGCTATCTAAAGTTAGGAAAACAAAACACTATTGGCTTTAATTTTATGAATATTTTTCACAACGTTGCCAAGAGTTGGGTAGCTCATTATTTAATGAGGAGCACGCATCACAATTTCAAAAATAATGCTATATAATTGTCGTCTAAGAGTAGTTTAGTAAAATGTTATATTATCACACCTAATTAGTACTTACACGTACCGGATTCATTGTCTTGCATCTAGAATAAGGAGTGAACTTGCAATCGCCTATTTGATACACTCTATCCTACCAACTGACGAAACAATTATAACCTCATAATTATCAGACAAAGCAAATCCAGGGATATTAAAGATCGAAAAAACATTTTTGAAAGCAACCAATCCCTATTCTTATCGCGTTTTGGTCCACGAGTTCATGACACAGCACAAAATTACGTAACGTATTATATATTTGTATTTCTCCACAATTGCATTTCGTGACCCATACACACACAGGGACGGGAATTACACTAAGATCGATAAACAGTAAATTGACAGACAGACAAAAACTGATATATTCCTTACTTAAAAATTACTTTTAACATGCTTATTTGTTACATAGATTTAGTGAAAGTTTTAAGAATGTACAGACAAAGCGTTTATAGTCACTTTCAAGTTAGAACCCTTAATTACAGTCTAGATTTCTGTGGCTTATGATAACCATACGAAACTACAATTGTTATTATAAAGACGAATAATACAAATAAATAACGACTGTAACTTAATAGGAGCATTTTTGTACCATCAAGTGGACATGTGTACAGAAAAGTCCTTTTTGGAGAACCTGCCTGAATTTAGACTTAGTTATACTCCAAACGATTTTTACGCTTCAACACATGGTAACCAGATTAGCTGCACATAACAATGTAACCTGGAATTAAATTAAGCCAGACTGAGAAGCGTAGATATGCACTTGTAGCATTAATAAGACATGAGGATGGTAGGAAATCTTTCTTAATTTAGCAAAACAACTTTTTTGTAGGCTCTTCTTGATGTTTGACTGGTCACAGGTGTAACACCACGAAGATTTTGCGAAACCTACATAAAGTTAGTGGTTAGAGGCTCTACCAAAATGGAAGCAACTGTTTAGTGATGGTTCAGTCCCTAAAACAAAGCTTGATACTACCAAAGCAATCCAAAGGCTTGATTACATATTATTAGTATTTCAAGGTGCTTACAACACCTGGAGCACTTCGAAAAGTAACTTGGATCAACCTTCCAACTTCCGTCAGACTGTCTTGCGTATCTTGACAATTGAATGATAATCTATTAAATGAAGTAGAGGTAGGGAAGAAACTTAGTACCATAAAGTGTCTTTAGTAACGAGGAAAATATTTTAGACTAAGATTTATAGGACGATCAAGCGAAGATACATGAGCTATTGTGGCCCATCCTCAGACATGTCGGTGACTTCATCTAATACTTCTGGCAACCGCGTAAACCCTAACCAAATCTACCAACGTAACCCAATCTGCCACTGGCTTCGTGAACTGATGCTACGCTTTGATCTGGTCACTCCTAGTCTCCTGCAAGATTACTATCAAAACAACAAACACCGTCTTTGCAGGCCTGACACGCATATGTAGTATATGTATAAAACATTAACTAATTTATTATGAGTGGGAATCTATCGTTTCTCTGTTGCCCATATTACAAGGGGATTAGTAGTCAGTTATCTTGAACATTTGGAAGCATACCCGAAGAACCTAAAGGATAGCATCGTGCGGTAATTTACACAGATTTTGAGAATACTTTCTGGTGTCTATTCTATGATATTAAGGCCTTACCTTCATCGAAGATAATACGCGAGGCAAGATTAGGTATGGTGTTCTCAGGACCGGCGTTCTTTAACACTCTACCACCGTTATACGGCAGCACTTATGTGAATACTGGTTTTATAAGAGACATTCTACTTTGATCATACCCTAAGTCAGAGGCAAGATATCGCCTTCGGAACTTACACTGTTTCCGATCTTATCGCTCACAACACGAACAACCTAATATAGTAGGACCTAAAGCAACTAATGTTTCCGCTAAGATATTTCGAACGCATTAATGAAATAGGCAACCCATTCGAATCGGGTTACCCAGAATCTTACGTCGCGAGAGACGGCTGGCGTTTTTAGTCTGATATGAAAAAAACTGACATCTAATCCTTGCTGTTAATCGAACGTTTGGCGATTTGAGACGTTACCAAGCTGGTGCCTGAATCATACCCGGTTGGACCTCAGTTGACAAACAACCTTACTAGCTCCAGCCATCGGAAAAACACAACGGCACTAAAATCATAGCTGATTCGAGCTTGTTAAGAAAATCCTTACTAATTTGACGCTAACTGAAGCCCTCCGGATTCTCACGCCGAATTAGTCCATCCACATTGCTACAAAGCACCTTTCATATTAGCTTATTTCAGTTTATAAATACCACAACCCTATATTCTAATCATGACACCTGATTATTATGCCGAAATTGATATACTTCAAATCCACTTCCATTTACCACAAATTGTTTAGAAGTACTTCTCTAAGTGATTGGTAAATCGCCTATGATTATCGCTAGAAGTCTTATCCAGTATGAGTGCTAAAAGAAAAATAAATCAGAAATCGTAAAGCAAACAGTACTACATATAACCATAATAATACGCCTTAAAGAATTGAAACCACCACGGTTAATTTTTATGCAAACAAATCTAACTTACCAAGCAGCTTGTACAAGGTTTTTGTTAGTTTCATGGTCCAAAGCCTGTAAGTAACATATAACAAGCTGAAAAATATGGGTCATGTCAAGTTAGATTACCTTGTGGGGATGTTTCGCATGAACACAAAATCCCAATTCTTTTAAAACACGTCGTTCAGCCTTGATAACTTGATTTTTAAGATTACTGTAACTTTGATCGAGAATCACGGGTGTTGGTGTTCTGAAATAGAAGCCAATAATGCATACAGCAATACTTTTTATCCCGAACTTGTCTTATATGATGAAAAACGTTGATTACGTCTCTAATGCGTCTTGGAGACTCTTCAAGCTTTGCAGCCAGGAATATACATGCCATAGCGTAATGCTGGAAGCAGGTTACTAGACAATAAACCTACCTCGTAGAAGTGACGGACAAATGACTTGGAGTAGAAGAATCGCTGGTACAATACCTGCGCAGTTGCCATAGCAACTTGCGGCAGCCGTAACAAAACCCCAGAGTCTTGGATTAACTCGCAGCCAAGAATCCTTAAGTCAATTTCTGTTTCATATTCCATCTTGTCTAGCTGCGATGGCGTAGGAAATAAACGCTCCTCGGGTATAATAATGTTGTGAATGGTTAAATTCACACCACAGTATTCCCATGTTGAATCAGGTTGCTTTACAGATCGAGGATTCGCATCAGCGGCCATTGTACTAGCGAATTTAAATGTTTCACACAAAACGTCAGTCACTCATTAAAAGCAAAGTAATGACTAAAGCTGTAAAAATCTATCTCTTAATATGTTCATAATTTTATTATGTATCATGTTTCTGTTATTCCTATTATCGGGTAGATCTCAGGTTATCGTTGGCACGCAAAACGTTTTTCTAAAGTTGGTCATTGAAAATGTTTGATAAAGATAGAAGACTGAAGACCTGAGTTCAGACTCAAATATGTGCATTTGAAATAGAAAACTTACGGCATGTTTTGGTCCTTTTCAAGTGAGCTATTAAGTGTTTGTTCAATCTCCTCTTGGGCGAGTCAATTTAAAGTGGTGGCACCAGTTCCCAAGAGTTGACGACTTAGTGTGAAAATATAATAGCCACGAAAATTTAGTTCGTTCATGGCTTTTCTACACACCTGCTTTGTCCTCTGAGTTGTCTTAATCTGCTGGAAAGACAAGGAGGATATATCAGGTCAAAAATCATTTCTTAGTATTCTGTAAATTTAAATCAGATCACCTCTTAATCTGAGTGAGGAAAGGGAAGAGATCTTGCTTTTTAAGCCGTTCTCTCTATAGAAAATCCCGTGGTTCCTGTCCTGAAATTGTACAGGTAGCTTCCGTATATCATTCATCCGGATAACCGTCACTAGACATAACTGAACGATGCATATATGTGGAGATGGCATGACAAACTTATTTTGTAAACAGTTTTTGATACTATCTGTATTTATTTTGGTTAAATTTCACAGCTTGTACATTCACTATGAGATTGTTGTACTTTTTGTTTATGTGTGTGACCTTTATTATTATTATTACAGGCGCTCTATATACACACACGCTGTTTTCACTTTTCGTTCATTGTACACCAGCACGGCCCTCGCCGCTATACATTATCAAATACACTTTATACGTACCATTGTTATTTTCATCTGCTTAGTGGATATTATTCATAATAATTAATACGTATGTTATCTACCTTATAGACTGCAGCCACATACACATACTGACCTTCGGATTATCATGATAAATGGAATATTAAACGAACCAAAATTGTGGTAAAAGACCACCAGATCAAATCGAACACGCACAAGTAGCTGCATTAAGTAACGTTCTTATATTTTTATTGTAATTATCGCATTTAACTGATATATTTCAATATGAACTCATTGATGTCTGATAACCTTGTTAATATTTTGAAATAATATATTAAGTGGTCCACCACAATTAAATGGTGAGCCCGACGTGATCCAGAGTTAATTAGTGAGCGTGTGTTTATGCTATTTGTTATGCTATTATAATTTTTATTATTATTTTCGGCTTATCCATTCTGTTTATATCCCATACGGCTTTATTTGTACTAAATCACTTACAATGGACTCTCTCCCAGCTAATCCTTTCTCCACATCACAGTCTGAAGATAAAACCCCAACTTCCTTTAGTGCTATCTCAGATTTTAATCTTCCTGCGTTTGGCATTAGCAACCCTAGGATGTGGTTTTGTCAGATTGAAGCTTTATTTACAGCCAAAAACATACGCGCACAAACTACGAAATACGCATATGTTGTAAGCTCACTCCCATTAGACATAGCTGCACAAGTGGGAGATCTTATTGCTCAAGTGCCTGAAAACGACCCATACGATAAACTTAAAGCCGCATTGATACAGAGAACTTCTGCATCAGACGAAACAAGGCTACAACAGTTATTAACCTCCTGTGAGTTGGGAGATAAAAAGCCATCCCAATTACTACGATACATGAAAGAGTTGTCTGGTCCTTATAAATTAGACGAGAATATACTCAAACAACTTTGGCTTCAACGGCTACCTCACAATGTCAGACAGATTCTTATGGTAACTATTAATTCAGCCAACCTGACTGAGTAAGCCGACATGGCTGATAAAATAACTGAAATCTACCCAGATAACCAAGTTGTTAATTCTGTACAAACTACTGGTATAGATAATATGTGTAATGTCATTAGCCTCCAACAACAGCAAATAGCACAACCCACAAATCAGATTGAATCACTACGTGCTTCGATAGCTATGATAACCACGAAACCAACTTCGATAATTCCTAGAAAAAGGTCAGGATCGCGACATCGCTCTAGATCTCCAAAAAGACCAACTGGCGTTTGTTGGTACCATCAGAAGTATGGTGAGAAAGCACGACGTTGTACCAAGCCGTGCACTTTCCCTACAAGCAGTCACGAATTACAGGGAAACTGGCCTGTCAGACAGTAATGGCGGCGACTGCTTCTGGCCATGCTACTAGCCGTCTGTTTCACATCAGGGACAGAATTTCGGGCTCAGACTTCTTAGTCGATACAGGAGCCGAAATAAGCATTATCCCTCTATACCTCTCCCGACGGAAACATATCACCCCCAGCAAGAATACACTCCAAGCAGCGAATGAAACAATCATTCAGACTTACGGGGAACAGTCACTAATAATCGACCTCGGTCTCAGACGACGTTTCACGTGGGTCTTTGTAGTAGCACAGGTAAAACAGCCAATCCTGGGAGCAGATTTCCTTACTGCCTATAATCTGCTAGTAGACGTGCGCGCCAAACGACTAATCGACAATCAGACACGTTTACACGTAAACGGCATTACTGCTAACATTTACGAAATTCATGGAGTACGTTTAATTAAGCCTGATAATCAACCTTTCGCCGACCTCTTAACTAAATATGATAGCATCACCAAGGTTGACTATCGAAAGGAAGGCAGTTTACATCACATACTTCATCACATTACTACTACTGGTCCTCCCGTCTGCGCCAAACCAAGGCGACTGCCCCCACATAAGCTTCAGATTGCCAAAAGAGAGTTTGAACACATGATGCAACTGGGTATCATCCGTCAATCAAACAGCCCATGGGCTTCGCCACTACACATGGTACCAAAGAAAGATCAGGACTGGCGCCCATGTGGCGATTATCGACGTTTAAATAACCAAACGACACCTGACAGATACCCTATTCCTCATCTTCATGATTTTTCGCTTAACTTATATAGAAAACATTTTTTTTCAAAACTTGACCTAGTCAGGGCATATCACCAAATCCCGGTGGCACCTGAAGATATTGAAAAAACAGCCATTATCACACCTTTTCGCTTGTTTGAATTTTTGAGAATGCCATTTGGGTTAAAAAACGCAGCCCAAACGTTCCAACGGTTTATGGATGAGGTAACCAGAGGCCTCGACTTTGTTTTTGTCTACATCGATGATGTTCTTATAGCTAGCGCGTCGATCGAAGAACACGTTCAGCACCTACAAACCCTCTTCGATCGCTTCCAACAGTATGGAGTCGTCATTAATCCTTCCAAGTGCATCTTTGGCGCTCCTGCCTTGGAGTTTCTGGGACATTACATAGACTCACGAGGCATAAGACCACTACAGGAGAAAGTAGACGCCATCATCAACTACCCTGAACCTACCTCACTAAAGGCATTACGCCGTTTCCTTGGAATGTGTAATTTCTACCGACGATTCCTACCACATTGCGCTGAAACCTTACAACCTCTGACTGACTTGTTAAAAGCCGACAACCAAGTGACGAGAAAAACTAAAAACGACATATTCAACTTATCGACCGATGCTAAAACTGCATTCGAGGAAGCTAAATCTCTTATATCCAACGCCACTATGTTACAGCACCTCAACACTGACCCCACGACAAATCTAATTCTATGCACAGATGCATCGCAGAAAGCTGTCGGGGCAGTGCTACAACAACGGGTAAACGACGTCATCACGCCCATAGCGTTCTTCTCTAAACGATTATCACAGGCACAAGAACGTTACAGCACTTTTGGACGTGAGCTACTTGCTATCTATCTTGCAGTAAAACACTTCAGTTTTTTATTACAAGGACGTCCGTTTACTATAATGACTGATCACAAGCCTTTAATTTACTCCTTTAATGTATCATATGATCGCCATTCACCTCGGGAAGCCAGGCAACTTGACTATATTTCTCAATTTACCACAGACATCCAGTATATTAAAGGACAAAGCAACGTCGTCGCCGATGCATTATCACGCAGGGATATCAACACTCTGATACGCAAACCAGATATTAACCTCGAAACGCTTGCTAAACTCCAAATAGACGATGCAGAACTAGAAGCCTGCAAAGTAAAGCCTAACTTGATCCTTAGACTGGTACCTATCCCTTTCTCCAACGCATCGATAATCTGCGACGTATCAACTGGAAATCAGCGCCCCTTTGTACCTGAAGCCTGTCGACGACAAGTATTCCGACAGTTACACGAACTTTCGCATCCAGGAATAAGAGCCACCACTAAAATGATAACGGAACGTTTCGTTTGGCCTAAAATTAATTCGGATGTAAAACGTTGGACCAGAAACTGCTTACAGTGCCAACGTAGTAAGGTACAAAGACACACATTAAGTGTTGTTGGTAAATTTCCGCTTCCTGACAAACGTTTTCAACATGTTCATTTAGACATCGTTGGTCCATTACCACCATCAAACTCCTTTACTCATATCCTCACCGCGGTTGACAGATTTACCCGATGGTCGATAGCATGTCCCATTGCAGATACCTCGGCAGAAACAGTAGCAGCAGTTTTTCTTGATCGGTGGATATCTAATTACGGAGTTCCCTCAATTATTACTACAGACCGTGGTCCCCAGTTCCAATCCGTTCTATTCCAGGAATTCGCTAAACTACTGGGAGTAAACCACATAAAAACCACAGCTTATCATCCAGTAGCTAATGGTTTGGTCGAAAGGTTTCACCGCCAATTAAAAAGCTCACTGACGGCACAAGCTGACACGACGAAATGGAGCGAAGCATTACCGCTCGTACTCCTGGGAATTCGCTCAACTATCAAGGAGGATATCGGATGTACTTCTGCTGAACTGGTTTACGGCACAACACTTACGTTGCCAGGCCAATTGGTTGACACGGACACATCGGCACCAAGTGACCCAAGTCGATTCGCTAGTCGACTGCTACAAAACATGCAGAGCCTAAAAGCCATACCGCCACGAGAGCA